TCCCCTCCGTTTGGTGCCCTTCACCTCACGCCCACACACACACACACACGCAATTAAACGCCCACACACACACACACACACACACACACACACACACACACACACACACACACACACACACACACACACACACACACACACACACCACACACACACGCCTCACGCTCCCCACAAACTTTCGCACAAGCCCACTCGTGTCCGCTAACTCACTCCTGACGCCCATTCAGGTGCCCAAAGCATCAAGAAAAATATATACTGATCTTACACCCCTTGCTTGCGCGCGCACCTACCAAAAGACACACGCGCACGCACGCACACACACACACACACATACACACACACATACACACACACACACACACACACACACACACACACACACACACACACACACACACACACACACACACACACACACACACACACACACACATGAGCCCGATAGGCTCATGAATCTGTACACCTGTTGATTGACGGTTGAGAGGCGGGACCAAAGAGCCAGAGCTCAACCCCCGCAAGCACAACTAGATGAGTACACACACACAAACACCACACACCACACAACCACACACACACAAACACACACACACACACACACACAAAACACCTTGAAACTAAAAGAAGTCAAAAAACAAATTAGAGTATTCCAATATGGCTTCCACATAATACCGAAAAAGAGAAAACGAGAAGAAGGAGCCCCCTCCTTGTACATCAGGGAGGACTAAAACAAAAAATCCTAAGAGATGGTAATCCAGTTGCCACAAGGAGGCCCTCATTGACTGCATAACTGGCAACATAATAATGGGAGAACCCCAAATAATAAGTGACTGTAATATTCAACTCTCCCCCCAAAAGGGCAGAAGGTCCGAACTTGGGGGCGACAGAAACAACACATCATTAGTAACCATTATTCCCAAGGCCAGAAACTGTGGAAAGCAGGAATCAAGTTAGACTTTAACTTCTGGTGGCCTTCAATCATGACACGATTGTCAGGGGAGGAAGTTAGGAAGACTGCAGAGATAATATATAAACTCTCTATAACAACAACAGTTAATTTACTGTACCAAAAAAACCAGGAGAGAGGGGAAAGACATTGAAAATATCGAGGCTGTTAAATGGGATCGAACTCTCGCGCTTCCCTGGGCTCCCAAAACACACACACTACTCTGGACTATGATGAGAGGCGATACGAAGGATGCGAACCTGGGTTCTTGAGTTCCTAAGACACATGAAGGGTATGAGCCAAGTCGGTCAGATTATCCATAACATAACTTCTGAAGGAGATGGATTTAATGACATCCATCTTCGAAGATCATTTTGAAAGACCAATCACCATTCGGTCTTTCTGTCACCAAGACTGAAAGATCGTCGAATCTGTCGTCAAATGGAAGACGAGGCAAAATAGACGTTATTGAATCTAAAATTCCAAGGCTTTAGTGAAATTATAATAAACGCATACGTCTCTCCGGACGATCTACCAGGAGGAGTGTCAATCAGAGAAGACATGATCCCAATATACAAGATACTCACGAATACTGCTCGCCATGGGAGAGACCAACACGAAGGGGGGGACACAGTTAATAGGCAAAGACACGGTTATGTCTAGGTACTCAGTCCTCTTCCCATGTCTATTCTCCCCGTAATTTATTTTATCTGATATGCTGTTTTCCTACTTTTTAGCCATGTTGCTATGCTTCCCTATTCGTTCACTATTTCGCTAAACGCAGATTAATGTTTTATAATTATAACCTGACATGTTATCACCCGGTTATCATCCGGATATCATCTGGATATCAGGTATAAGACTACCCTCTCCTCGTCAACATCCTCATACCGGCTGTAATTACAACCTAGTGTCCGTAGTTAATGATAATCACTCTTAGGTAGACCTAATCGCTGTCCAATGGACCTAATCACTGTCTGGCGAATTTAATCACTGTTCGATGGACCTAATCTCTGCCCATTGGGCCTAATCATTTCCTGATACACTCAAGTAGTGCCCGAAGGACTAATCGCTGCCCAATAAACCTAGTCGCTATCCAGTGACCCTAATCAGAGCCTGATACACCTAATCCCAGCTCAGTTGACCTAATCACTGCCCGACGGACCTCTTAGACCAAATCCATGACATGAATCACCTTCAGAGCATCTCATTCATGTCAGAAAATAGCCCTTCGTCCCTGTTTACATTCTGGTTTAGGTTTGAGTTATAAATGTTTTAATGGGTTTAATGTTGATGGGTTTCATTATGTGTACTGTTTAAGCCGTCAAGGCTGCTGGCGGGGCTGTTCGTTTTAGGACGGTGGGTCATTATAGATGGTAATGTGTTTGTACTTTTGGGGTTTACCCTGTGGTGGGGGTTGGGGGATAGAGAGGAGGAGGTTGGTTGGCATTGGTGAAGCTTTCATACCCATTACTGTCCCCTCCAGCACCACTACCATCACTACCACCATCACTACCACCATCACCACCATCACTACCACTACCACTACCACCACCACCATCACCACCATCACTACCACTACCACTACCACCACCACCATCACCACCACCTCCCAAACGCCATTAAACCCTATTATTTCTCAACACCTCCCACAGGTGGCTGTCAGATGCGAAGGGAACATTGACTCAACTGAAATCGCCACCTTGAGTCCGGAGGCCCTCAGCTTCGACCCCAGCAAGCAGGAGCCCCAGGAGGAGCAGGAGCCCCTGGAGGAGGAGGAGACGCTGGAGGAGGAGAAGGAAGAGAGAACGAAGGAGGATCTGACAAGCGAGAGAGAGGAATACAAGGTGAAAAAAGGCAGAAAAAAGGATGAAAATGGAGAGCTGGATAATACTAATACGGTAAGGCAGATACACACACACACACACACACACACACACACACACACACACACACACACACACACACACACACACACACACACACACACACACACACACACACACACACATCCCAGAGCCCGATAGGCTCAGGAATCTGTACACCTGTTGATTGACGGTTGAGAGGCGGGACCAAAGAGCCAGAGCTCAACCCCCGCAAACACAACTAGGTGAGTACAACTAGGTGAGTACACACACACACCACACACACACACACACACACACACCACACACACACACACACACACACACACCACACATTGTTGCATAGCCACATTAGGAGAAAAAACAACAGTAAAGGAACAGGTTATGAGATTAAGGATAGGGGCGGAAGGATTCACTACAAATGACAAGGAAGTGTGTGAGGAATTGAATAAGAAATTCCAGGAGGTCTTCACCTTAGAACAAGGAGAAATTCCAGAGGTAAGTGAGGGAATAGCTAACCAGGAACCACTGGAAGAGTTTGAGATTACCAGTGGGGAAGTAAGGAAGTGTTTACTAGAGTTGGACGTGACGAAGGCTATAGGCCCAGATGGAATCTCCCCTTGGGTTCTAAAGGAAGGAGCAAGAGAACTGAGCCTACCACTCTCCATAGTGTATAACAAATCACTGGCAACAGGGGAACTGCCAGATATTTGGAAAGCAGCTAACGTAGTCCCGATATACAAGAAAGGGGATAGACAGGAGGCACTGAACTACAGGCCAGTGTCCCTAACCTGCATACCATGCAAGCTGATGGAGAAGATTGTGCGAAAAAAAACTAGTGGAGCATCTGGAGCGAAGGAACTTTGTAACACAGCATCAACATGGGTTCAGGGATGGCAGGTCCTGCCTCACAGGGTTACTTGAATTCTACGACCAGGCAACAAAAATAAGGCAAGAAAGAGAAGGGTGGGCAGACTGCATATTTTGGATTGTCAGAAAGCCTTTGATACAGTGCCACACAAGAGGCTAGTGCGAAAGTTGGAGATGCAGGCTGGAGTGAGAGGGAAGGTACTCCGGTGGATAGAGGAATACCTAAGCAACAGGAGACAACGAGTCTGTGTGAGGGGTGAAGTCTCAGATTGGCGAGACGTCACAAGTGGAGTCCCGCAGGGGTCAGTCCTCGGACCTATACTGTTTCTGGTATATGTAAATGATCTCCCAGAGGGTATAGATTCGTTCCTCTCAATGTTTGCCGACGATGCAAAAATTATGAGGAGGATTGAAACAGAGGATGATAGTAGGAGGCTACAAGATGACCTGGATAGACTGAGTGAATGGTCCAACAAATGGCTGTTGAAGTTCAACCCGAGTAAATGCAAAGTAATGAAACTAGGCAGTGGAAACAGGAGGCCAGGCACAGGATACAGAATAGGAGATGAAGTACTTAATGAAACAGACAGAGAGAAAGATCTAGGAGTTGATATCACACCAAACCTGTCTCCTGAAGCCCACATAAAGAGAATAACGTCTACGGCATATGCGAGGCTGGCTAACATCAGAACGGCGTTCAGGAACCTGTGTAAGGAATCATTCAGAATCTTGTACACCACATATGTAAGACCAATCCTGGAGTATGCGGCCCCAGCATGGAGCCCGTACCTTGTCAAGCACAAGACGAAGCTGGAAAAAGTCCAAAGGTATGCTACTAGACTAGTCCCAGAACTAAGAGGCATGAGTTATGAGGAAAGGCTGCGGGAAATGCACCTCACGACACTGGAAGACAGAAGAAGTAAGGGGGGACATGATCACAACCTACAAAATCCTCAGGGGAATCGACCGGGTAAACAAGGACGAACTTTTCACACTGGTGGGACGCGAACAAGGGGACACAGGTGGAAGCTGAGTACCCAAATGAGCCACAGAGACGTTAGAAAGAACTTTTTCAGTGTCAGAGTAGTTAGCAAATGGAATGCATTAGGAAGTGATGTGGTGGAGGCTGACTCCATTCACAGTTTCAAATGTAGATATGATAGAGCCCAATAGGCTCAGGAATCTGTACACCAGTTGATTGACGGTTGAGAGGCGGGACCAAAGAGCCAGAGCTCAACCCCCGCAAGCACAATTAGGTGAGTACAATTAGGTGAGTACACACACACACACACACTAAACCAACATGAACATTCTCCCCCAAATATCAAACAAAGAGACAGGGTAGCGATACCTGTCATCAAGCCGACCTACAAACAGACAGGCAGACAGGTGCCTGAGGTAAACAAAAATCTTTGGCGCCAATAAATAAACAAAAGAACGATGACACCTTCCACGTGGCATCCGGCCCTCACTCAGGGTTGTTTAGAACGTAAACAAACAAACAAAAAACATTATTAATTAGGTGATCACTTGCCACAGTGAGAGGGGTGGGGGGGGGGGAGATATTCACCTGCCTCAGAGACTTAACATCTCATCCGAGGATAAAAGCCATGCAACAATCCAACAGCAACAGCCTGGCTGCTCTGATCCCTTCCCTTCCCCTCACTCGCCCTCATCTCAAGCAAACACAATAGCTGGACCCCAGTACCCTCAGGAATTTAAATGGAAAGTTTAAAGGTGACAGGTTAAATCGTTTGATATTTGAAATGCAGGCAGACGGAGAGACAGACAGACAGACAGACCAGACAGACAGACAGACCAGACAGACAGACAGACAGACAGACAGACAGACAGACAGACAGACAGACAGACAGACAGAGACAGACAGACAGACAGACAGACAGACAGACAGACAGACAGACATGATATGCAGGACAGAAATACATGTGAACAGGAAAATGTAGAAACCTATAAATATGTAGCTAGTGAAACCTAGAAACCTAGTAACATGTGGGCAGAAAAACACATAGAAACAGACAGACATATGGACAAGAACACAAGGAAACAGATTCGCATACGGGGAAAGGCTGAGACAAACAAACATATGCAGAGGCATAATACAGACAAATACATAGACATAAAGACAACACAGACAAGTGCACAAGAGTGTCAAAATGTTGGGTACACATTGACACAGCTCTTGTCACTTATATCCCTATATCATGGCAACACAGCCCCTTGTAGTTGTGTTATATAGCTAACACAACTATATATAGCTATATATAACTATATACAGCTATATATAACATCTGTATAACATCTGATTTTCTGTTTGTGTAAGGTTAGAGACCTGATGCTTGGGGCTAGTCTCACTCAGTTGACCAGACCTCACACTAGAAGGTGAAGGGACGACGACGTTTCGGTCCGTCCTGGACCATTCTCAAGTCGATCTACTTGAGAATGGTCCAGGACGGACCGAAAAGTCGTCGTCCCTTCACCTTCTAGTGTGTGGTCTGGTCAACTTACTTTAGCCACGTTATTGTGACTCATCGCCTGCATAGTCTCACTCAGCTTTCCAAGATGATACAATGTGTGTATTAGTAGTAATAGTGGTAGTAGTGGTAGTAGTGGTAGTAGTAGTAGTAGTAGTAGTAGTAGTAGTAGTAGTAGTAGTAGTAGTAGTAGTAGTAGTAGTGGTAGTAGTGGTAGTAGTCATCCCAGGAGACTATGGAGTTGCGCACTGGTTAGCGGTCTAAAGTGGCCTCTCTGGGGCATAAAGCCAGGGGTAGGTTGATACTGGGTATATGAGGGTACCTGAGATTAATGTGGGTATATGAGTGTTAAAGGTCAGTCGAGGCTTGAGCCCGAGTGTCATCCTTTAAGAAATATCGGCATCTATAGTGACCCCCCCCCCCTGACCAATTTACACAAAGTCTGAAATTGGGAATATGTTTTCCGTAGAGTTGTCATGGCATTTTCAGCTTTCATTAATATTCACACATAAATATAACCCATCATAATGAGACAGACATTGCAGCCAAATTAGCGTGTAACAAGTTTGAAGTTGAATTAGATCTAGGTATCCCCATCTCTGCTGTCAAAACTGTATTGGTCCAAACATTCAGATCTGATAGGAAAGAACTTACTGACTCCCAACGACCTGAAAGTACTAGTATAAAAAGCTATGATTTGTTCAGATCTGAAACCTACATCTATGGACAGCACAAAACGTCCACTAGACTGTGCGACACAGTGGTTGCAAGGATCAGGTTGGGTTACCGTTACCTGTGGCAGGTGGCTGCAGGTGAGGGTCTCCCAATCCTGAGCACTCCAGTTGCAAACTCTGTGAGCAGGAACTACGGCATGATCTCCCGCACTACATCACTGAATGCCCAGTTATTAGACCTTTCAGACCAGTTGGCATGAGGTACCTGGAGCTTTGCAATTACTTTATTCACTCTCGTATTCTTGAAGATATCCTCACAGTATACCCAAAATTTGCCAGTGCAGGCTATTAAACACATGGCCCTGTATGACTAACCATCCTGCGAGATGGGGACTTGTATTACCACTGCTACCTTATTCAATCTTGTGTTGTTGATATCCTCAAAATGCATCCGGAGTCTGCCAGTGCAGACCGCCTATCACATGTCTCTGTATGACTAACCATCCTGTGTGATGGGGATTTTATAGCATCACCTAGTTAGCTTTTTTTTGACACACTGTACTCCACTTCATATAGTCTAGGGTAGCTGCACTAATGCAGATGTACCTCATAACTTAATAAAAAAAAAAAAATTCATTAATATTAAATTTGCTGAGGAAGAAAGAGAGAAGACTGAGGGAAGGAGAGCTAATTAACGTTCTTCTTAGGCAGGTGTATGTTATGATATAATTTGTTATTGTTAATGTTATCCTAAACATTTCAATAAGTAGTAAAAATGTTTGTAAACATTCACATGTTAATGGAGGGATTTTTTTCTCTGAAGGCGTGGCTGGAGCAGGCAACAGCGAGCCTTCCCAAGCCCGAGGCCCTGCAGGGAGGACGGCCCGGTCTCCCCCTTCAGGCTGGGGCCACATTTGGGGCCCACCAGCCTCTGCAGGGAGGCACTCTAGGAACCCACCAGCCTCCGCAGGGAGGCACTCTAGGAACCCACCAGGCTCTACAGGGAGGCACTCTAGGGACCCACCAGGCTCTACAGGGAGGCACTCTAGGAACCCACCAGCCTCTGCAGGGAGGCACTCTAGGGACCCACCAGGCTCTACAGGGAGGCACTCTAGGAACCCACCAGCCTCTACAGGGTCTCCACTTGGGAAGGATTCCTCCCTCCTGTGCTCTTTGCTCTAGAGAAAGGAACCTCTGTAGGATCATATCAGGTAAGGAAGACACAATATGTCGTTTTGGCTATATTGACGGATCCGGATCTAGATCCGGATCCGTTCTGGATCCATTGACCAATAGGGATCAGGCAAATTTTAGCTACCCAGTCAACCAGATTTTAAGTCATCTAAAATATATGTCTTGTTGACAAGCAATATAATTATTATCTGAATCAGATCCCGGTTACATAAGACATTACAAATTCAACGTGAATTTGATTCAAGCAAGTTCCTGTATCTGATAGAGTTCAGGAGACTACGATATTTAGTCATTCATATTATATTTAGTCCACAGGGCTCCACTTTATACAAGTATATATTTTTATTACATTTCCGTTCATTTTTGTTATTTAACTTGACAATGTACGTCACCTTTCTAACTGTGAGTAATGTGTATTTTATTTATTGCCTTTAAATAAAGCTTTGAATCAGCTTTTATCTCGTTATGAAATGGTTGATACTATTCAATTATTTGCTATGTATCCTGCTTTTTTTAAATGTATATATGAATGTCCCTGGAAATGTAATAGCTACTTTTGTCTAAATTGCATTGTTTGTGCACTGAATCGATGTATTATTGACCTTACATACGTTTATAATACAGTAGATAATGGTAATAATTACAAGTTTTCTATGATAGTTTCTTTCAATAATAATTACCAGTTTTCTATGATAGTTTCTTGCAGTAAAGGAGTAACTGCAATAATTTTATAAACCAATTATGATTGTTGAACCATCTCCGCAGGTATCTTCACCAGGTCTCCTCTGCCCTACGGGTACTCCTTAGTCACCCCTGTGCCAGCGGGAGTCTGTAATCTCACCATTACTGAGATGAAGCCCTCAAAGAACTTCTTCGGTGAGTGAGTGCCTGTTTTTCAAACAAAAAAATATGTTTTATTTAATGTACGAACATATTATACAAAATACATGTATATGTATATGTATATGTTCGTCTAATGCTCCTGTTCACCTAGCAGAAAATAGGTAACCGGGAGTTAGGACACCGTTATGGGGTTGCATCCTAAGCAGAGTCGGTAGTTTCACCTTGGAACAACCTATAGAGAGTAGAAAGTCTATTCGAATCATTTTCATAATGGTAAATGATTTTTGTAATGATAAATGAGTTATAGGGGCCCGGTAGCACAGTTGAATTCGTTCTCGACGCACAGTCGAGAATTCCAGGCTCGAATCCAGGGCGAGACATAAACGGTTGGGCACATATCCTGTTCACCTAGCAGTAAGTAGGTACTCAGGAGTTAGTCATCTTGTTGTGGGATTGTACCACTGAGTGGGGTCATTAATTCGACATTGGGAGGGAGGGACCTCGATATAAGACTAACGTGAGTGTGAACACACGCTGGCTGCCTGTCCCCCGACACCATGAATTATTATGATAATCGTCAGGTGAAGCTGTACAGTATCCACTGTGCTTCATTGTGTTTTTGTATATGCTATCCTATTTAGCTTGTATTTTCTTTCAATAAAGAAATAAGATATAACAACAGCACTAGTGGTGGGGAGGAGAGTTTTCTGGTGGACAATCAGGAAGAGAAATATTCTTCAGGTCATCCAAGTTACATGCAGGTGTATCACTTAGACAGTTGTGTCTCTCTCACTCTCTCTCTCTCTCTCTCTCTCTCTCTCTCTCTCTCTCTCTCTCTCTCTCTCTCTCTCTCTCTCTCTCTCTCTCTCTCTCTCTCTCTCTCTCTCTCTCTCTCTCTCTCTCTCGCTCTCTCACACTCTCACACACTCTCTCTCTCTCTCTCTCTCTCTCTCTCTCTCTCTCTCTCTCTCTCTCTCTCTCTCTCTCTCTCTCTCTCTCTCTCTCTCTCTCTCTCTCTCTCTCTCTCACACTCTCACAAACTCTCTCTCTCTCTCTCTCTCTCTCTCTCTCTCTCTCTCTCTCTCTCTCTCTCTCTCTCTCTCTCTCTCTCTCTCTTCTCTCTCTCTCTGTCTCTCTCTGTCTCTCTCTCTCTCTCTCTCTCTCTCTCTCTCTCTCTCTCTCTCTCTCTCTCTCTCTCTCTCTCTCTCTCTCTCTCTCTCTCTCTCTCGCTCTCTCTCTCTCGCTCTCTCACTCTCTCGCTCTCTCACACTCTCACACTCTCTCACTCTCTCACACTCTCTCACTCTCTCACTCTATCTCTCACTCTCTCTCATAACATTATTTTGTATTATGTGATGAATTTAGTTAACATGAAGATTAGCTTGACAAACAATATTTATTTGGTTAGATGATGGACCGATCAACCTCTGGAGTGTTATTAAGGCTAATGAACCTCTTTATTAAGTCTATTAAGGCTAATCAGTCTCTGGAGGGGGATATTAATATCAATAAGCCTTTGCAGGGTTATTAAGGCCACCACAATAGCTTATACTGACCTATTAGCAAGTATCCTTTAGACCTGAACATAGCCCAGGACTATTATAAAATCTCAGTATATATATACACCGTGTAATTGGCTACACTTTTCGGTGTATATATCCCTTACAAGTACGTATACGTTAGACATGAGCACAATCCACCAACATATGTTGACCAGACCACATACTAGAAGGTGAAGGGACGACGAAGTTTCGGTCCGTCCTGGACCATTCTCAAGTCGATTGAGATTTGAGAATGGTCCAGGACGGGACGACTTGATTGAGAGTTGAAACGTCGTCGTCCCTTCACCTTCTAGTGTGTGGTCTGGTCAACATACTTCAGCCACGTTATTGCGACTCGTCGCCTGCATCCACCTACATACTTTTCATGTCTATTGAATTTTTGTTCATGAATGTGTTTACTAGTTGTGTTTTTTGCGGGGGTTGAGCTTTGCTCTTTCGGCCCGCCTCTCAACTGTCAATCAACTGCTTACTAACTACTATTTTTTTTTCCCCACACCACACACACACACCAGGAAGCAGCCCGTGACAGCTGACTAACTCCCAGGTACCTATTTACTGCTAGGTAACAGGGGCACTTAGGGTGAAAGAAACTTTGCCCATTTGTTTCTGCCTCGTGCGGGAATCGAACCCGCGCCACAGAATTACGAGTCCTGCGTGCTATCCACCAGGCTACGAGGCCCCTGTGACGGCCATGTTCTGTTGCTTGGCCAAAGTGACGAGATTCTTGGTATACTTTTTTCTCAAGTGTCTATCCATGTATTTGGCCTCAGCTCTGCGACGATCGGACGGCACCTATGTTCTGAATGGCAACTGGGACATCCAGGCATCCGGAGAGTACATAGCGGCCGGTACCACCTTCCTCTACACCCCGTCCAGCGATGACCACGGCGAGCAGCTCTCAGCTCCTGGACCTCTCAAAGAACCCATAGACTTCATGGTAGGCCTACTCAAATATATTGAGCTTTTTGCATAAACCAAAAGTAAAATAGGTACGGGCGCTAAAGTCCCCGATAATGTTTTTATATGTTATCCCTTAAAATTCTAACTTTTTTTTAGTTTTCTTTCATACTGATATGTGCACATAGAAAATGAGTTTTCACACGTCGATATATTGGCTAACTAAGTTATTTGTTATAGTATCTTTGGTTTTCATCGGATTTATTCTGCATATTCTACTGTATTTCTAATTCCAATAAATTGTTACCTAATTATACATATTAAGGGTCTGTTATAGTTTAGCCGGATGAAGGAAACAATCCTATTCTTTATTTGTTTATTTAGCAAAAAGGCGCTTTTAAATTCCAGGAAAACATATATTTTTTTATTTTTTTATTTATTTATATATACAAGAGTTTTTACATTCTTGTACAGCCACTAGTACGCGTAGCGTTTCGGGGAAGTCCTTAATCCTATGTTCCCTGGAATACGACCCTCACGAAGAATCGTTTAACAACCAAGTACCCATTTTACTGTTGAGATAAACAGAGGCTACAGTTAAGGATTTGCGCCCAGTAAATCCTCCGTAATACGTAAGATAAATGAAAAGAAAGGTGAATCAATATGATAATATGACCAAAATATATGTAATACTACACATGACTTTCAATCCTTACATGGACCAACTCGTGAGATAATATATCTTCCCTTTTCCTCACAGCAACTTCTGTATTTTGACCAGACCACACACTAGAAGGTGAAGGGACGACGGCGTTTCGGTCCGTCACGGACCATTCTCAAGTCGATTGTCACAATCGACTTGAGAATGGTCCAGGACGGACCGAAACGTCGTCGTTCCTTCACCTTCTATTGTGTGGTCTGGTCAACTTACTTTAGCCACGTTATTGTGACTCACCGCCTGCAACTTCTGTATTCTTTGAGTCAATCCCAATTGTTTAGATGTTGTATAGAGAATGAGCCAGCAGTAGAGGAACTCTAATGGTCGGGTTACATTCTCGCCTGCTTTTAGAGGATGAAAGCAGGGGACATTATGTTCGAAAGAAGAGTATCGGTACGTGAAAGTCCCCTCATTAGTGTAGCACACTGAAAACTGCTTTGCAATGGGGCTCTCTTAATTAGCAATCAGATCTGCCTCTATGTCTTTGTGTTTTTGTGTGTGTTTGTGATTGTGTGTTTTTCTATCATTTGTTTTCTGTCTGTCTTCCTGTCTTCCTGTTTCTGTCTGTCTACCTGGTTTTTGTCTATTTTCATAGGGAAGTAGGGTTGGCACAGTTTCACATAGCACCCTTCTCTTTTACGCCTATCTCGATCCGCCCATGTTGGGCACGTACCCAACAGCAATTACCATGACAAATTTGGTGAAACTCGCCCCAAGCATCTTGCCTCCAACCTTGAACAGACAGATAGGCATTTTTGTTGATAGATATAAATATTTTTAAGCTGCACAATTACTGCATTCTAACACTGCTGCATCAGTGGGGACCGTGGTTGGTTGTCATCTATTGTTCTTACGGTTACGCGACATGGACTACTCATGTAGTCGAGAGAAAAAATATTTGTATAAAATCCATTTATTATCCGATCAACTTGGGGATAGTTTACAAATGTTTGCCATGAAATTTACGTTTTCTCTAATAGCCGAACAGCTTATTAAAGAGAACGGCATGGCAGTGAATCATCGTGGTAAAACAATTGTATTATTGACACCATGAGTATAATCGACGTAGTTTTATATATGTTGCCGGTCGAACGCATTCTTATGTGACCTTTAATACCCATGTTCTCATAGAACATTTTATTGCGAACACATTGGAACAAAAATGAAATACATACATTGAAAAATTATGTCAGGACTGTGAATTGAATATACACTTTTCAAAGCGAGTTTCGCCGATATGCCGCCGCGGGATATAAATATAAATATTTTTAAGCTGCACAATTACTGCATTCTAATAACATATACAAATTTCAACAGCTTATCTCCCAGAGTCCCAACCCCGGCGTCAAGTACGAGTACAGAGTACCGCTACCAGAGTACCTCGGCAGTTCCTCCTCCAGTGGCTTAAACCCCCCGTCTGGAAGTCTGGGAAGTTCACCTGGAGGTCTGCGGCCACATATGGGCGCCCAGCTGACTCCTTTCCAGCCTCTGCCTCAGGGAACTTCAAGCGGCGGCTCAAGGAACACCAATATCGGTCTCAGGAATCCAAGCTCAGGTGGCGTGAGCCAAGGCGTTCCTGGATTGTATCCGTATGGCAGCGGGAATACAGGGCTTCCAGCAGGCAACTTCGGGCCATCTCTTAGCGGCGGCGGCACCAACCAGGTCGGTTTCAACTCCAGTGGAGTTCCCTTTTCTCCTCTCAACCCACAAAGTGGTAGTGTTGCAGCGAGTCCAGCAGGATCCCAGAGAAAGAGTCCCACATTTTTGGGAGTTCCAGCTGCCATCTCTCCCCACAGTCAGCCCCTTACGCCCTTGGGGAGCACAGGCAAGGCCACAGGGACTCTACCCATACCCTGGGGTCCTACATACGGGTCACAAGACAGTGGTAGAGGGGTACCTCTAGGAACCCCGTTTTTGCCGGGACAGCAGTACCCAAGAGTCCCAACGGGAGGCTCTGTGTCCTCCGGTGTAGGATTCACAGGGTCTAGGTATCCGGGACACACTAGGACAGACGGTTTAACCCTAGATAAGGGCAGCGTCGATGCAGGAGGAGGGACGGGCTTGACGTCGGGAAGAGACGGCGCTTTCCCACCGGAGTTCCCTAAGAATAGCGTTCCTCTGAGACCTATCGCCATCCCGAGGCCTGGCACCCCAGAAGGGGCAAGACGGCCGTCTGGCGGTGTTTCCGGAACCCAACGACGGCCCTCAGTTGGGTCGTCAACCCCTGCTACCCCAGCTGACACCCACAGGACACGACACCAGCATGGGTCACAACTTGAACAAGGTGAGGACAGCATTTGATTTTCCGATGAAACAAGCTCGTATTTTGAGACATGCTGGTTATCTAATACTGATTTAGTGCTTTCTCCTTTCATCTTAAAGGCATAATTATGTCATCAATGTATTATTTGCCATAGAATGTATATTAAATAATGCATAAACAGCATTAATTAGCTAACATAATTGCAAATGAATCTAATTCCTTTCTGAGCGAGAACTTCGATGATATGACGTAGATTTTCTTGTTTCGGAGTGACTCCTTGTTGGGAGGTCGAGTCATCTTGCGTCTTCGTCTTCCCAGGTCGGAGGAAGGCGTCTAACAAGCCTTCGGAACCCCCGCTCTTCGATCTTGGAGTCCAGTTGATGCAGCCTTCAACGTCGTCTCGGAACCGGACGGTACGTTGGTTGAGGAGTTCCTTGGGAGATAAATCAAGACTTTCATTTGTAGTCCAGGTAGATGACAGGGTAGATGAACATTGACGCCTTTGGGAAGAGACATTTTCCGAGGATTTCTATTGAGAAAATAAGGCTTTCATTTTTGTTTTTGTTAACTGTATGAAATACAAAGTTTTGAGAGAGAAAAAAGGATTGTAGGTCTTTTGTTTTGGAAATAGTAGAGATTGGAGGGAATTGTTTTTTTAAGTCGACTGAAATATATTTTGAGTCATATTTTCATTTAGCATATTTTCAAACTCCAAATATGTCAGAAATCGGCTAAAAAATAACGACCATGAGTCAGTTATATGATATCTGATATATCTGATATTTTGAAAACAGCATACAAAAGGTGACCCATCGCCGTTTTCAGTAATTGGCATATTTTCGGTATAAAAATTCGTAATTTCAAACTCCATATATGTGCAATGAGCTAGAATTCAGCTCGAAAATAACGCTCATGAGTCAGATTTCCGATATTTCTGATATTTTAAAAACTGCAGGGGGGATTGGGCAAAATATGACCCATCGCCGTTTTCAGTAATTGGTATACTTTCGGTATGAAAAGTCGAAATTTGAAACTGAAAATAGGTGCAGAGAGCCAGAATTCGGCACAAAAATCACGCTTAGGAGTCAAATTTCCGAAATTTCAGATATTTTAAAAATTGTAAAGGGGGTTTGATCGAAATATGACCCATCGCCGAAATCAGTAATTGCCATATTTTGGGTATAAAAAGTCGTTATTTGAAACTAAAAATAGATGCAGGTAATCAGAATTCGGCTCAAAAATCGCGCTCAGGACTAAAACTTCCGATATTTCCGATATTTTAAAAACTGCAGGGGGGGGGGGGGTTTGGGCAAAATATTACCCATCGCCGTTTTCCGTAATTGGCATATTTTCGGTATAAAAAGTCGTAATTTGAAAATTAAAATAGGTGCAGAGAGTCAGATTCCGGCTCAATAATCATGCTCAGGAGTCAAATTTCCGAAATTCCAGATATTTTAAAAACTGTAAGGGGGTTTGGGCGAAATATGACCCATCGCTGTTTTCAGTAATTGGCATATTTTCGGTATAAAAAGTAGTAATATGAAACTGAAAATAGGTGCAGAGAGCCAGTTTTCGGCTCAAAAATCACGCTTAGGAGTCAAATTTCCGTCATTTCAGATATTTTGAAAACTGCAGGGGGGTTTGCGCAAAATATGACCCATCGCCGTTTTCAGTAATTGCCATATTTTCGGAATAAAAAGACGTAATTTGAAAATGAAAATAGGTGCAGAGAATCAGAATTTGGCTCAAAAATTACGTTCAGGAGTCAAATTTCCGAAATTTCAGATATTTTAAAAATTGTAAGGGGGTTTGGGCGAAATATGACCCATCGCTGTTTTCAGTAATTGGCATATTTTAGGTATAAAACGTCGTAATATGAAAATGAAAATAGGTGCAGAGAGTCAGTATTCGGCTCAAAAATCACGCTCGGGATGTGGGAACCGACCTGTGAGATTTATATTTATTTAATTTATATGAATTTATATTTACGTTAATTTATATACTTCGATAGCAATTTGTATAATGTTAAGTGGACTGTATTTCTGCAATAATCTCTTAATCTCACAAATCGATCCTCTACACATTAGGGGGGGTTTATTAAATTTAATATATATGCAGCCAATCAAACTACAGTAATAGCTACATACATTGATGAGGTTCCTTATCTTATAGTACAGCAGGTTAGTCCACCAGGTATAACTAGGGTGTAGACACCAAATTATCCTCTTTGAGGTAGCTTCCATATCACCCAGTAACTGGTGCACAAATCTTCCTTCCTCGTCTTGACCTGTCAAAAGTGCGCTAGCTGTGAAGCCAGAATCCTATATATGACAAGTATTTCAGAGAAAACTGTACAGTACATGGAACATTAAAGACCTGGCTTAATTACCTTTAGTATGAGGCGATTTCGCGTTCTAACCGGGTCACCCTATATAATGACATTAATGGCCACTAATGATAGATAATGGGTTTCGGATAGACTTAACTTGAATTGTAGACATCGTGTTGGAGATGGTACCTTTGGTTTCCATAACACTACGTCCAAGTAAAATTAACAGGAGCCGAATTTGCTCCCGTGTGAGCCTCTGGTCTCGTATATACACAATGGCTGTTTAACACTCCATAATAATTGACGTTACTGGCCGACATTGTCCAGAATGATAGGAGCCGAATTTGCTCCACACGTCTCGGAGGTGACACAACAATGGCTGCCTCCTTCCTCCCTCTCGCCTGGCCTACTTTGTCCAGATTTCAGAAAGTGATAGAAGGGTCACAATTACTCTACTTTAATATTGATAATTAAGTTAATTTATATAAGATGTTTTATGATGGTAAAGTCCAAAGACTAATGTATTTAAGAATAATTCCCAGCAGAATAGCTGGTGAATTATAATAGTATGTGGTGATGATATCCCGTTTTCTATAGACGGTAATTCCACTACAAGTTACGTTTTCTATGGGTAACTTGTTGGTAATACAGCTATTATCTGTATGATTATTAAATGGTGTCGGATTTTCCGACATAATTCCCCAGGGGGCTGCTCACGGGTCGAAGTCCTGTTTAGAACAGACGAACACCGATACTCCTCCTTCGTATTATTAGATTAATTTGATGTTAGTTGTTAGTAAGCACACATTTGTGTGTCTGTTCGTACAGGACGGATGTCCCGTACCAGAGTTGCAGGGGTTAGAAGTCTAATGCGATTTCATTTCCCTGTCAACTCTTGAAAGGCTAATATTCAAGCCTTATTACATATTATTTAACCCAGAAGACTGAATGTGATCAAGTACTACAGTCAAGTATGATTCAGGGACTGCAGTGAGATCAGTGACTTTAGATATAACTTGAAGTTTCTTCAGGTAACTGGTCACTGATATATAAACACTGAGGCCCATGGAATACATCTTGATTAAATAATAAATGTATCAAATCAGTCATCAGATTTATTGGGGTTTAATTTAGTTAATTGATTCAGAAGATTGAATAGCTCATCATTAAAGTAAAGTATGGTTCTGAGACTGCAGTGGGTTCAGTGACATTGGTCGCAGTGACTTGTAGCTGGTTTAGGCTACTGTTCACTGATTTGCCACTGAGGCCTCATGAACTCATCTCCAGCTTTAAATGATGATACTAACATCAACCTCTGTTAGTATAGTCAGCTGTAATCTCCTTAGTATAATGCTACTGGAGAAATATAATCAGCTGACAAATTTAGATTTCTACTGGTATTGTTTATCTGCAGGCATAGGTCTCCTCAGGCTTGATACTGGGCCTGAGAGTAATTTACCTCCTGCAGAGTTTAACATGGTTATACCCTGATATTTAGTAGGGCTACCAATGAATTGATGGTAGTAGTCTGTCCCCACAAGGACAGCCATTTGGCATTTGATTTGCTCAAATTTACCTGCAGCTGCTTGATAATAGCTTTCCAGGTCAGCATAATCAACTTGAGATTGTTGTGACAAATCTTCACATTTCTTGATCTGTCTTGTTAAGTGGCCTTTAAGACCTGCAAGGGTTCTTTTCATTCTCCCTGCATTATCCATACTGGCTCGTTGGTGAAGCCTTGTGGGGCTTGTACTTGGGCTGCTCATAATACTGAACAAACACTAATGGTAGCCTAGGGTAAATTCTGCACTCACTAGGCAGTAATCCTACCTCTACTAGAGGTTAGCACTTAAAATTAATACACATTATATATATGCAATCATACACACTAATGATTTGAGTGATAAACCAGTGTCACTGGAAGTACCTTTAGGTTAGCTCTTCTATATCACCCTAGGATGGTAGAGACCCTAATTAATCACTCAAAGGTGTAATGATCATAAGTAAATTATTATATATACAACTCAACTCGAGTTGATAAAAATTACACCCAAAATAGGGTCTGGACCATTCATTAATGGTGTTAGGTTGTTCAATATAGTACAACTGACTATGGTAATAATGGGACTAGGGTGAACGATAATAGTTCAACTAGTCAATGGTTAATATCCTACCCTGTTGTGGGTTGGCAATTAGTAAATATTATATTGAGATCACTAGTGCAATATATATTAAATAATTCTCTATTTTGGAGAAATAATATACACAATTATTGTTAATAGCCTCTTAATTAGCCTCTATGAAACTTCTAATATTATCAAGAAGTATTAAATATTATTAGTGACCTCGCGAAATAAAGTCCACAAAATTCGTAGATAATCTCTCGCGAAATGTAACACCACGAAATCCGTGAACAATATCGCGAAGACACAGTCACTAATTAGGCTGGCTTCTATATTAGCGCTGTCATTTCACGAAATAACACGCCACCAAATATCTGTGGGTGTGCATGAAACCGCTGACGAAGCTGAACTGGGCTGAGGGAGGCTCCTGAGCTCCCACGAGGCTTCGCCGCTGTCTTTGACTGGCTTTGTTTAAATCACACTGCACTAGTATATTTAATGAATCCACTGGTTAACTGGTTCATCCGGTACTAAGATGACCAAATGTGGGTTCACAAGGATCAAATAATCCGTCATCCGGTTCGAAGATGACCAAATAATGTGGGAACCGACCTGTGAGATTTATATTTATTTAATTTATATGAATTTATATTTACGTTAATTTATATACTTCGATAGCAATTTGTATAATGTTAAGTGGACTGTATTTCTGCAATAATCTCTTAATCTCACAAATCGATCCTCTACACATTAGGGGGGGTTTATTAAATTTAATATATATGCAGCCAATCAAACTACAGTAATAGCTACATACATTGATGAGGTTCCTTATCTTATAGTACAGCAGGTTAGTCCACCAGGTATAACTAGGGTGTAGACACCAAATTATCCTCTTTGAGGTAGCTTCCATATCACCCAGTAACTGGTGCACAAATCTTCCTTCCTCGTCTTGACCTGTCAAAAGTGCGCTAGCTGTGAAGCCAGAATCCTATATATGACAAGTATTTCAGAGAAAACTGTACAGTACATGGAACATTAAAGACCTGGCTTAATTACCTTTAGTATGAGGCGATTTCGCGTTCTAACCGGGTCACCCTATATAATGACATTAATGGCCACTAATGATAGATAATGGGTTTCGGATAGACTTAACTTGAATTGTAGACATCGTGTTGGAGATGGTACCTTTGGTTTCCATAACACTACGTCCAAGTAAAATTAACAGGAGCCGAATTTGCTCCCGTGTGAGCCTCTGGTCTCGTATATACACAATGGCTGTTTAACACTCCATAATAATTGACGTTACTGGCCGACATTGTCCAGAATGATAGGAGCCGAATTTGCTCCACACGTCTCGGAGGTGACACAACAATGGCTGCCTCCTTCCTCCCTCTCGCCTGGCCTACTTTGTCCAGATTTCAGAAAGTGATAGAAGGGTCACATTTACTCTACTTTAATATTGATAATTAAGTTAATTTATATAAGATGTTTTTATGATGGTAAAGTCCAAAGACTAATGTATTTAAGAATAATTCCCAGCAGAATAGCTGGTGAATTATAATAGTATGTGGTGATGATATCCCGTTTTCTATAGACGGTAATTCCACTACAAGTTACGTTTTCTATGGGTAACTTGTTGGTAATACAGCTATTATCTGTATGATTATTAAATGGTGTCGGATTTTCCGACACGGGAGTCAAATTTCCGACATTTCAGATATTTTGAAAACTGCAGGGGGGGTTTGGGCAAAATATAACCCATCGCCGAAATCAGTAATTGCCATATTTTCGGTATAAAAAGTCGTAATTTGAAAGTGAAAATAGGTGCAGAGAGTCAGAATTCGGCTGAAAAATCATGCTCAGGAGTCAAATTTCCGACATTTTAGATATTTTGAAAACTGCAGGGGGGGTTTGGGCAAATTATGTCCCATCGCCGTTTTCAGTAATTGGCATATTTTCGGTACAAAAAGTCGTAATTTGAAAATGAGAATAGGTGCAGAGAGTCAGAATTTGGCTCGAAAATAACGCTCATCAGTCAGGTTTCCGATATTTCTGATGTTTTGAAAACTGCAGGAGGGGGGGGGGGGCATATTTTGCTTTTTGCCCAACTCTCAGGTTCTTATTGACTGTTAGGTGAACGGGTGTATCAGGTACAAGAAAACGTTTAGCCCTACCCGAAAATCGAACTTGGATCGCCATTAGAAGGAGCAAGTGATCTGTAAGTGTAGTTTCAAGATGAAATATTTTACCCCTAATACAACTGTTAACTGATTTAATTTCAATTTAAATAATTTAAAACCTTAATTAGCAATTACTTCCCTTTGAAAAGTAAAATACTTTTTATTTCAGCTCATGAAACAAAAAATCGATTTGCCACTTCCTAAAAAAAAATGCGAAACCAGAAACGTAGGAACACCATATTTATTATAATTAATAAATTATACTGGACATAATGAGGTGATAGCCGAAGAATAGCCAAAAGAATGAGGTGATTTGATAAAATGCTATGCCCAAGATTACCATCCGAGTGCCGGCGGTGGGGTGGTTCAAATAGCTTCGTCTATCACCTCATTATGTCCGGTCGTGATGGTCGAGTGGATTGAGGCGTCTTGTACATACCAGTTGCGTTGCTTCTGGGAGTATGGGTTCGAGTCACTTCTGGGGTGTGAGTTTTCAGTTGCATATTGTCCTGGGGACCATTCAGGCTTGTTCGTATATATATATATATATATATATATATATATATATATATATATATATATATATATATATATATATATATATATATATATATATATATATATATATATATATATATATATATATATATATATATATATATATATATATATATATATATATATATATTGCAAAATTTTACTCTAGAGTAAAAAGTGTTTAAAGAAAACGGAATAAAGGGATGAAAGGAATGACTAATATATACATCGAGGGCCCCTATTTACCTTCCTCAGGGCCCCTTCGGCAGCCCAAGACGCCACGGTAAGGGCAGTCGTCGTCGCCACCACCAGCAGGACAGCGGGACCCTGGCTGACGGATACGACGACACCCAGACGGGGACGAAGGGTCGCCACAGGAAGCAAGGATTGAGGTTCCAGTGGGCTGAGAAAGGCTTCACACCGTGTTCCAGATCCTGTGGCGGAGGTGGGTACTTCGACCCCAGGTCCAGGTTTTGTCCCCATACTCCCCTAACGTTCCAGCAGCTTGTGCAAGTCTTAACAACATCAAAATTAACATTGTAGTTAGATTAGAATGGCATATAACTTCCAGTACATTATCCTTTCACCTGGAGTACAGGTAGACAAAATATAGTGCTCCATAGCAGCAGTTTTAGGGAAGTGAATATGCAGTTGGATATATTTTATCAGAAATTATCCCTGTCACCTTCTCCCCCTCACTTGCCCTCTTCACTATCCCCTTCCCTCTTCACTCTCCCCTCCCTCTTCACTCTCCCCCTCCCTCTTCACTATCCCCTTCCCTCTTCACTCTCCCCTCCCTCTTCACTCTCCCCCTCCCCCTTCACTATCCCCTTCCCTCTTCACTCTCCCTCCCTCTTCACTCTCCCCCCTCCCTCTTCACTATCCCCTTCCCTCTTCACTCTCCCTTCCCTCTTCACTCTCCCTTCCCTCTTCACTCTCCCCCTCCCTCTTCACTTTTACTTCATCTTCTCGCTCTCACCTGTCTTTCCCCACCAGGTAATCAGACAGTGATCTTGTCGTGTGAGAAGAAGAGGAAGAGAAAGGTGGTGTCTGACAGACGATGTGGTCACCTTCCTCGTCCCGAGATGAGGGTCGTCGTGTGTAACCTCAACCCTTGCCCTGCCACGTGAGTCTCTGGTACCTTTCAGTCTGGTACTCCCTGATGCGTGAGTCTATGGTACCTTTCAGTCTGGTACTCCCTGATGCGTGAGTCTCTGGTACCTTTCAGTCTGGTACTCCCTGATGCGTGAGTCTTTGGTACCTCTCAGTCTGGTACTCCCTGATGCGTGAGTCGTTGGTACCTCTCAGTCTGGTACTCCCTGATGCGTGAGTCTTTGGTACCTTTCAGTCTGGTACTCCCTGATGCGTGAGTCTTTGGTACCTTTCAGTCTGGTACTCCCTGATGCGTGAGTCTATGGTACCTTTCAGTCTGGTAATCCTTGAAGCGTGAGTCTATGGTACCTTTCAGTCTGGTACTCCTTGAAGCGTGAGTCATTGGTACCTATTTCAGTATCAAGTCCTGGGCCCATATCAAGTCCTGGACCCTTATCAAGTCCTGGACCCTTATCAAGTCCTGGACCCTTATCAAGCCCTGGACCCTTATCAAGTCCTGTACCCCTTATCTTGACCGCCTCTCCCACTCTTGCTTTGTCAGGCCTTGATAAGGTTCCAGGAGTGGCCGAAACATCGCTACTCGCCTATCTCTCCATGTGTGGGTTGTGTTACTCGTTTCAACCAATTTATTGTGATTTATTTTCTGCCAGAACGCACGAGGCAGAAACAAATGGGGAAAGTTTCTTTCACCCTAAATGCCCCTGTTACCTAGCAGTAAATAGGTACCTGGGAGTTAGTCAGCTGTCACGAACTGCTTCCTGGGGGTGGAGGCCTGGTCGAGGACCGGGCCGCGGGGACACTAAAAAGCCCCGAAATCATCTCAAGATAACCTCAAGATAAGACCTCAGTAAACTGCCCAGGGCCTTTTGACCCCATACTAGGCAGCTCTTCTATGTTTTCAACCAAACTCACGCATATATAACTGTCCAACCAACGCTTGAAACAATCCACATTACTTTAATGTACTATTGTCATATGTTAATGTGTTCTTTTTCTACAGATTCTAATGGAAATATGATCTTCATGTAAGATTGTTCATTTTGTTCTATAAGCGTTGAAACTTAAACATTGTTATTACTATAAAATTGTCTTAGGATTCTTCGTTCTTGTAGTTAGTATATCTATTGTCTTCAGCAGGATGATTTAGAGACTTTTTTTCTGCGGATAGAAATAGATTTTTTCTATAGATTTTAAATTTTAGATAGATTTTTCTATCTCTTGGAGATAGGACTCCCTTTTTGCTTCTAACAGGAGTTTCAAACCTCCTTGAATCATCATACAAGATTCTCTCGTGGGCCTAGAATCCCTTTCTTCACCAGCAATCAGGTTTGGATTCTTTAACTCTGGTGATAGGAGTCTGCCCAGCCACTTGGATTGGACGGTAGAGCGACTGTCTCGCTACATGCAGGTCGGCGTTCAATCCCCGACCGTCCAAGTGGTTGGGCACCATTTCTTTCCCCCCATCCCAAATCCTTATTCCAAGTGCTATATAGTCGTAATAACTTGGCGCCTTCTCCTGATAATTCCCTCCTTATTGTTGATC